TTCCAGAAGAAGTAGCCTCCGGGTGAGCACGGTGGCCTTTGCTGAGAAGCAGGGCTTGCCAGAACCTGGAATCCTCCAAGAAACTTCTCGGCTCACCTCCTTCCTGGTGTGTCCTCGGTCACTCCCAGACAACCTGACCCTCGTAGCCCCCCGGACAGCCCCTAGCTAGCAGTCTTCTTTGCCCTGTGGGGCCCCTCCTCGGAAAGGGCCCTCATTCCCTGTGGGCCCGGTGCCCAGGCCAGGAAAACATGGCTGTGATGGAACCTACAGGCTACTCTGCTCGCAAGGTGGCTGGAACCACATTCCAGAAACTTCCAGGAATGGACCTGCCGTATTTTTTTATATGCACCTCTGTTGGTTTCCGTGGCCCCAGCTCTTCAACAAGAAGAAGGTAGCAGGAAGCATGCAAAGCACTTGAGCTTTGGGGGTCAGGCCACCCGGGCTCCGATCTTGGCTTTGCCCCTAACTAGCTCCGTGACCTTGAGCAAATTACATAACCTCTCTGGGCTTGTTTCTGAATCTCTTAAAAAGGGATAACAGTACCTGTCTCTGGGGCTGATGTCAGAACAAAAAGAGATCATAAAAGTGTTTGGCAGGTGGTAAGCATCCTACACATGGCCATTTTTCTTCTGACTGCCTCAGAGAGTGGCAGCGACTCACCCAATGGCACACAGCAAAGTAAGGAGAGGAGCTGGTACCCAACCTTTTCCCAGAAACTCAGTGGCCTCCCTGGGCTGGGCCCTGCAGGGGAGACAGGGCTGAACGAGGCTGAGATAGCAAGGACCCTCATGGTCTTAGACAGCCTAGGATGGGGTGGAGCACGGACACCGTCCACCCACAACTGCAAGTGGGCGCTAGACCACGAGTCCATGCCACTGAATCCTCAGCCACCTCAATATTGAACTCCTAAACCCCAGGGGACCCAGCCCGCATGTATCCCCGGAACCTGCCCCAGCCAGAAGGGCTGTGTGGCCCCAGAAAAGCCTCTTTCCCTCTCTGTGTGTTCATGATTCTAAGCACAGGTTGAGAAAAATCATCTTTATTGTTGTTCATGGAGGAGGAGAGGGAGGCCAGTAAAGGGGGGCCATTCTGAGGATGCAATTCTCCCCTATTCCCCAACCCCCCTGGGAAAGGGGGGTCTGAGGGGGCTGTATCCATTGTCCATCCTGAGAAAAACAGGGCTTCACCCACTGGCCTCCAGGTGCCCCCCTTCTGAGGTCCCTAGCCCCAAGCCTTCGCCTCCCTGCAGGAGCCCCCAGCGCCCACCTTTCACTCCAGGTGGGGCTGGCCCCTCTGCTGCGGGGCAGTGTCCTGGAGTCAAGGCCTCCAGATGAGCCTGGGTGGGCCGAAGACGGACTTCAAGTCCTTGCTAAGGCAGGTCAGGAGGGGGCTGTGTCCTGGGGCTGGGCAGCTGCTGAGGGCTGGGGCTGGGACTGCCTTGGAGCTGACCCCGAAGGCCTCTGGGATGGAAAATCCTGAGGGAAGGTGGGGAGGCAAAGGTGGAGGACACCACTCAGTTCCCCCATCCTCTGGTGGGGGACTTCAGGCCTCCGATTACCCAGACCCTTCCTCCCACTCGGGGCCTCTGAGGGGTCAAAGGTTAACACTAGAAGGAAGAGGGGATTTCAGCTCCTTCTGCCCCCACCCCAAGAGAGGTCACCCCAGCTCTTTGTAAACTTGGGGCGTGCTGAGGCTCCTCACGCTGTCTGGGGCAGGGCTCAGTGTCCGGGGGACGCTCGGGGTGGAGTGCCCACCTGTACCCGGCACAGGTCCAGCAGAGTGCGGCTGCCTGCCAGGCACCAGAGCTCGCCCAGCAGGGACAGGAGGACCCCCAGGAGGTCCAGCCAGCAGCCCACGGTCAGCAGCAGCACGAAGAGGCCACCCATGCGCACCAGCAACGTCTGGACCTGGCTCTGCAGGCCGGGGTGTTGCCGCTGTTCCTCTGGAGGGAGGGGGTGCTTGTCACCGCCTGCCGCCACGCCTGGGGCCCCAGGTCACTCTCCCCTGCTGACAACCTGCAGTGGCTTCTCAGCCGCCGGCCAGCATGGCTGATGAGGGCTCCCCATCAGGCCCCCGTGAAACTGGCCAGCCTCATCCCCTCCCCATTCCCTCCGGGTGACAGCCACACTCAACTTTTTCCAGTTTGACAACGTCGTGCCCTCTCTCACCTCTGGGCTTTGGCATGTGTGGTTTCCCCTGCCGGGACCTCCTTGCCCCCACCCCCCACCTCTCCCAGGGGCTCCTACTTATCCTTCAAAACCCAATTCAAGCTCCATCTCCTCAGGGCTCCCACCGCACGCCACACCCTTCCCTGAGCTGTTCCCTATGGCTTCTGTCACTAGACTGGGTGCCCTGGGATGGCGGGGAGGGGGGGGTGTCTAAACAGGGCTGACCTCCCCAGGGCCTAGCGTGATGATGCTGTGCCCAGGTCCCCAGCTGTGGCCCTCACCCTGCATGTAGATGACCAGCAGGGTGTAGCAGATGATGAGCGGCATCCAGAAGCGCACGGCGTCCGAGGTGGTCGGGAAGTCCCGGTTGACGAGGGCCACGGCTGCCAGGTCGCCCACAGCGAAGGCCACGGCCAGGGCGCGGGCCAGCAGCCGGGGGAGGCCGTGAGCGCCAGCCAGCAGGCCCAGGCAGAGCCCGCAGCAGCGCAGGCCGCTGTGCAGCTCGTCGTAGAGCTGGCAGACGTGGCGGCAGAGGCGCCGGGCACCCGCGCTGAGCAGGGTGGCCAGCCAGAGGCCCAGCAGCAGGTTCAGGGTGCGGTGAGGGGCGCCCTCTTGCAGGAAGCTCAGGCCGCAGGTCAGCCCACAGCCCAGTGAGTACTGGCTCAGCAGGTACAGCTGCAGCCTCTCCCTCTCGGAGCCCTGTGCCGGGGGGGAGGTGGGGGGAGGGAAGGAAGCGGAAGAGGGGCCGCGGGGGGGGGGGGGGGGGGGGGGCTGCCTCTCTCACAGGGGCGGGGGATGGGCCCAGGCGGCTGTGAAGGCACACAGACCACTCTGTAGGAGGCTGGAGCCAGAAGGAACCTTGGGAATCGTCCCCAGAGAAGGAATACTGCCTTCGGGTCAAGCCCTTCCTGGGACCATTTCTTTCTGCCTGATCTCCTCACGATTGTTTCTTTCTGAAGGTTGGTGGTTCGGAGCCTTGAAGACCTGGGTTCAAATCCTGACTCTACTTCTTGCTGGTTGACCTGGGACAAGCCGCTCACCCTCTCTGAGCCTTAGTGCCCCCATCACAGCAGAGCTTTACCCCCTATGATTGTGAGGATGCGCAAGATGACGCCCCCAAAGTATCTGGCACGGCGCCTGGCGCGTGGGGAGCTCCACAGCCCGGAGCTGCCACCTCCGTCTTCTTGGCCTGGGGCTTTGGGCCACTGTGGGCCGGCGGGGACTGGGCTCCCAACCCCCGGAGGCAATCTGCACTCTCCAGTCTCAGCCTTACAGGAAGGGGGTGGTGAGGAGACAGAGTGCTCCAGCTGGGCCCAGGTTCCTGTGTTCTAGGGGGAAAACTAGGGCCCAGGGCTGGGTCGTGACTCACCTCCTCTGGAAGCCTTACCTTACCCAGGGAGAGCAGTGAGGAGACAGCCCGGAGGGAGAACTCAAGCACCACCAGGGCGGCCACCCGGGCCCCCAGGATGGTCAGGATTAGGGCCAGCCCCGCCAGGTGCACCATCTCCAGCAAGGCCCACTGGGCCTGCAGCCGCTGCTTCTCCTGCCGCCGCTCGGAGTTGCTGTCGGGCAGAGCGGGCGTGGGCAGGGGCAGAACCACCAGCCTGGGCCCAGGCAGCGGACCCCGTGCCCCCAGAAACGCACCCTGGGGACGGGGTTCTCTTCCTTCCAGCCCTCCCCCACGGAGGCCGGAGTCAGCTCAGGGCCCAGGGCCCAGGGAGGGGCCGGGAGTGGGCTGGGTTGGCAGTCACTCACTTGGCACAGTTCACAAAGAAGTAGACCTTCAGGAGGCTGTTCAGGACCGAGACTCCACTGGCCCCGATGAGGCCTGAGGGGCAGGAGGGAGGGCAAGCGAGTTTGGCAGGGTGAGAGGTGGTGCGAGACCCACGTGGGGGGTCCACCCTGCGGGGGGGCCCAGAGCTGCGCGGGATGAGGAGGCGGCGCTCACCCTGAAGGACAGAGTCGAGGAGGCCGGAGCCCCACCGGAGGGAGGGGAAGCTGGGGAGCCAGGAGGGGAGGGATGGCAGGGAGAACATGGCTGCCGGGATCAGCCCCGGCCTCAGGCCAGGTCTGCACCAGAGAGACCGACGTCATGGGGCAAAGGTGTCAGTGGAGGGAGGGGAGGGGCGGGGAGGGGTCAGAAGCCGGGGGTGGGGGTGGGGTGGGGGAGGGGAGGGGTCAGAAGTCCGGGAGGGGAGGGGTCAGGGGGGGGGGGGGGGGGGGAGGACAGGGGAGGGCCCGGGAGGGGAGGCAGGGGTCTCACACCTTCAGGGCTGCAGGGTTATGGGCCCAGGGAGCCAACCTGCTGCTCAGGGGCTCCACATCTGGGCAGCATGACACGGGACGGGCATCTCCAGCACTGGTCTCTGGCCTCTGTCCGCGCTCAAGTTGGGGGCCCACTTTTTCAGGCTCGGCTAGGGCTTGCCCCACAGGGCCTTCGGGAAGCCCCAGGTGTCGCTGTTGCCCCAGCCCCCAGCCTGGCAACTGGGCTCTGCCCCCTCAGCCCCAGTTCTGGAAGGCGGGGGTCTGTGTCCCCACAGCCTGAGGCTCAGCATCCTCAGCCTGAGGTCTGGAGGGAGGGCACCTATCCCCCAACAGCCTGAGGGTGAGATCCGGGTCTGGGTCCTCTCCCTCAGCCGCGGGGCAGCCTTCCTTGACGGCCCTCCCCGTGTCCACTAGGTGGCAGGCCTCCGACGGGTTGGATGCGGTGGGGTGCCACTGGCCTGCCCCAAAACTTGTGGATCCTCCTTTCCCCACTGAGGAGAGCGAGCCAAGGGTGGGGGTTCACGGGTGGGGGAGACTGAGGCTGCCAGCAGAAGGGAGTCGTGGAAATAAACAAAATAGAAAACTTTATTGGTTTGGAGTGTGCGTTGGGGAGCCGTGCCCTTGGAACGGCAGACGTGGGGTGTGGCGGCTCAGGCTGCTGGACCTGGGCCAGTCCTGCCCCTTCCAGGTACTCCGTGTCCATCTCTGAAGCACAAAGGTCAGCGCGAGCCTTAGGAACATACTCAGTGGGGGGGTGTGGCTGCAGCTTGGGGAAAGGGCCCGGGGTGAGGACACCTTAAGCAAGTCACTTCCCTGCCCCGGGCCTCAGCCTCCTCATCTGAAGAATGGGCATCACAAGAGCTCCCTTTCAGAATGGTCATGAGGATTTGTGCAAACGCCACCAGTGCTGGGCATCTAGGAGGCCCTCAGTAAAAGCTCTCAGCTGATGTTACAGGCTGAATTAGGCCCCCCCTCCCCCACATTCATACACTGAAGTTCTAACCCCCAGTCTGTGACTGTCCTTGAAGACGAGGTCTCTACAGAGGTAATTAAGTTAAAATGAGGACATTAGGGTGGGTGCTAATCCAACACGACTAGTCTCCCTATTAGAAGAGATTCGGACACAGGCACAGAAGGAAGACCGTGTGAGGACCCAGGGCCACCAAGGACAGAGGCCTCAGAGAAACCAACCCTGCTGACAATCTTGATCTTGGACTTCCAGCCTCCAGACTGTGAGACAAGATCTGTTGTTTGAACCCCTGGTCTGAGGCGCTTTTTATGGCAGCCTGAGCTCATGACGCAGGTGTGACATGACAGCCTCCTGGTGCATCCTGGAGCCTCCCCATGACTAGTGACACTCAGGGCCTTGCAGCCCCCAGGGTCCTGGCTCCTGCCAGGGGCACCAGTCTACACTGGGCAGAGCTAAGAGCCAGCCCTGGTTCCATCCTTTCAAAGCTGTGTGGCTTTGGTCAAAGCACTTTACCTTGCTGAGCCTCAGCTTCCTCTTGGTACGAGAGGATTTCACTGTCTCGTACTGTTCGAGAACTAAGCAAGCGGATGCATGTGAGTGACCCGGCTCGTGGTGACAGTCATGCCCCGGAGCGGTTATTGTAATCATGGGTAAGGTTCTGGGATGAGGTAACCCAGGCAGGGAGGGAAGAGAACTTGCGGGAGAACAGAGTGGCTGGTGATCCAGAGCAGAGGCTCAGGCCCTGAATGGGCCAGGGGTCTCGGTTGACCAGAGCTGTCCACACTCTCCTGGGCCGTGTGGCAGGGTCTGGGCCTGTGGCCTGCTCTGAGACGGCCATTCCCAGCCGGAGCGGGCCGTCGCTTCCTGCCAGGTCCCGGGCTGTGTCAGGATACGGCGATGAGGGATGCCGCCTAGGTGCCCTGGCGCTGGCCCCGCGCGGCCAGTTTCCGGAGCTCATCCCAGAAGAGCATGCTGAGGATGGTGTGGGGGCCCAGGCGCAGGTAGGCCGGGCCCAGACCCTTGTAGAGTGCCAGGGGGCCCTCCTGCCGCCAGATCTTCACCAGGCAGTCGGCAAGTCCACCATACAGCCGGCCCTGGGGACAGACACAGGGCGGAGGTCACTGCGGGGTCCATGGAGCCCTGGCTACCACAAGCGGGTGTGTCTGTGTGTAGGGGCCTCTGCGGCACATCAGTAGACAGACTCTCCCCAAGCTGGCAACTTACAGAAAGGTGGCCCTTTAGGCTGTGACATTTATGAAGAGACCTCTTCCTCCAGGCAGCCACAGCCCATGCCCCGGGGCCGAGCTTTGGCTAGTGGCACACGAGTGGATTTCGTCCCGAGCTCAGCCTTTGCAGGGCACCTTTGTGTTGAGCACAACCCGCGCCAGGGTACGGGGTGGCCCGTGTGTGTCTGCCGGGCCGTGAGTCCAGCCTGGATTCCTGGCCAGGTTCCTGCACTTAGCAGCTGGGTGACCTCAGGCACGGCACTAGATCTCCCTGACCTTCCGTTTCCTCATCAGGAAAATGAAGGTGGTTGTGAGGCTAGAACAAAATGCAGGTGTGAACATGCTTAGCCCGTGCCCGGGACATGGGTGCTCGGCAAACAAGCCGAATCAACGTGTTGGTGTGTGTGTCACACGTCTGCATGTCTCTGGCTCCGTGTGTGTGTATATGTGTGTGTGTGCGCGCGCGCGCTGGGGCGTGCTCTCCAGCTCCCCACATTCTCCCACACCCTCCCCTGCTCACTCTGCCGGCTCCATCCACGGGCTGATTGTACAGCCGTGTGCTGACCACGTCGAAGGGGGTCATGACGGCAGCCACGGCGACACTGCTGATCATGCCTCCAGCCAAGGCTACCAGCCAGCTGTCTTCCGGGAGCCACTGTGGGGACGGGACAGACTCTGACCCCTGCAGGTGCCCACCTTCCCCTCCCAGCACTTGGGGGCCGGAAGAGCTGGGGGTAAGGGGGCAGACCAGGCCCCTCCAGCCATTGCCCCGGCCCAGCTCCTTCACAGTTCAGGGCTCACTGCCGGGCCGGCCCCCACCCCTGCTGGGCACAGGGGCAGAGCCGGGGTCCTCAGCTTTCTTCGGGTCCCGGTCCGTCCCCTCCCCCTGGGCTTCCCTAGGTGAGGGTCCAGCTGGAGATGTCGGGGTGTGATGAGGGCCCGCACAGGGAGGAAGGAGGCAGATGGCTCTGACTTTGTTGTGTCTGTGGGCAGACTCAGGTGTCCCTGACTCACCTGCTGCTCCTGCACCCAGGCCTTGGCAGAGGCAAAGGTGGCCAGCTGGGCCGCTGAGCCAACCATGACTCTGGGCACGGCCCCACCCACGCCCCGCCACAGCCCTGCCAGGCCCTGCTGCCGCCAGACGGTCTCCAAGGCACCCAGAACGCTCTGTGGGGGAGAAGAAAGGCACCGGGTCACTGGGCAGCCCCTGCCAGCCCAGCAGCCCCTCCAGCCCACCCGGCCTGGGGGGCTCTGGGGAGTGACAGTTCCTACCTGGTGATGGTGCTGGTGCCCCACGGCCATCGCGGCCACCGTCTGGGCCTGCAGCTGCGTTTTGACCTGTGAGAGCGGATGTGACGGAGGACTGGACGAGCTGTACCCCGACGTCCAGGCCTCCAGGAGCCCACACCCCCAGCTTAGGGGGCGTGGGGAACAGGGTTGGGGGGAGGGATCTGAGGTCAGCCTGGGTCTGCATTTGACCTTCTCCGGGCCTCTCTGCTCCGCTGGACAAGCTGTTCTGACTATGGGATCATGACTATTCCTCATCCAGCCTAGGACGCGGGGGCCTCGCTTATTCTTAACTTGCTCAGCCATACAGGAAGACAGGCCACCACGCTGGGTTTGAGCCAGCACCGGTCCTGCCACCCTCTGCCCTCCCCCGCAACCCCGGCCCAGGTCCAGTGGAGCAGGGACCCCAGGAGAAGGAGCATGGGGGCAAGACCCTGTGGCTTGGGCCCAGGGGCGGATTCCAATCCCCGGGCAGGGGATGTGCCTGGAGCGGCCCCACCCGGCCTGGCCCACCCGACCTGGTACCAGAGTCAGCTTGGAAGGCTCCAGAGCCCCCGAGGGAGCTGGGTCATGGGTCATGGGGTGGTGGAGGATGGAGACAAGGCACTCACCAAGTAAGCAGGGCTCCCCACAAAGGCTCCCAGTGCCCCAGCCACGGCGCCCGCGACCACGGTGCCACCAGGCTGCTGGGTGAGGCCAGCCTGGCCTGCCAGGCTGTAGCAGTAGAAGCGGACGCCATTCATCAGGCCCTGGTAAAGGAGGCCGGCGGCCAGCCCCTTCTGCAGGCCACACAGCCCGTCCGCACGGACCACAGCTGCTACGGAGCCCAAAAAGCCCCTGTAGGGCCGTGGGTAGGTGCCGCGGGCCTGCAGCTCCCCCTGCAGCTGCAGCCTCGTCTTCACCACCTCTAGGGGATTGGTGAAGACGCAGGCCAGGCAACAGGCCGAGGCCCCCAGCACCAGGTCCACAGCTGGGGCAACTGTCTCCATGGCCTCTGCTCCTGAGGCCGGCCGTGCCTGGGTCAGGGACATGGGCACAGGCCCTGGGGTGGTGGCGCTTAGGCTGCCCGCACCCCTGCACGGCCACAGGGCTGGGGACCAAGGGGGCCTGGGGCCATGTCTGGAGGGCAGAGGTCCCAGTCCGGTAGGCCGGTGGCTCCTGGTCTATCTTGGGAGTCCACCTGCTCTGCTCAGCCACCAGGGCTGGCGGAGCCTGGGACACGTCCCCCCTGGCTCTGACCAATCCCAGCTGTCGCTGTTGTCCGCACCTCCCGGCAGGGGTGTGCCTAGACCCTGGGATCTGGGGAAAAGGTCACCTGGGGCAGGAGGGAGATTGGGGGGCGGGGAGAAGCTGCCAATCAGCTGAGACACCTCCTCCTGCTTTTCTGGTCTTCCGGTCCTCCCTCTGGCCCCAGGGCAAAGGGCTGGTGGCCCTGGCCCCACCTCTGGTCTAGCCAGTCCTGCGGCAGCTCAGAGCCCTAGGCCCAGGGGCGACCGCCCGGGGAGGCTCCTGAAACCGCGTGCCCAGGCAATGCAGCAGCTGTCCGCAGCCACCCTGCACCGTCCTTGTGGCTCCCCTTTCCCGGCCTCAGTCTTCCAGTCTGGCTCCCACGGTCTATGGTCCCACTGTCAGGGAGAGCAGAGGGGGCGAAGGGCTCCTTGAGCCCTGTGGAACTGATTTTGAATCCCAGGCTCTGCCATCTATCATGTGTGACCCTGGGCAATCACTTCCTCTCTCGTAGCTTCAGTCTGTTTGTAAAATGGGCATATCAATACCTACCCCAGAGGATTTCTGGAGGACTAGAGGTGTGTGAAGAACATGCCTGGCACAGGGCTTCACCGGTAAAAGATGGTCCACATTCCCCACCCCCACCCGCCCCCACTTCTGGCTCCTTTCACCCCATCCCTACCTCCCAGGACTTCAGGACCCTTGAGCCATGTGTCTCAAGGAGTGGCCCGTGGCTTCGGTCACTCACCCCATGGGGACTTGCCCCCCCCCCCCCGTCCTGCCCCCGTCATGGAGGGAGCCCCTTCTGGGCTGTAGGTTTCCAGAGGAGAGGCCCTGGCATGGAAATGGCCCTTTGTCAGAAGGGACCTCACACCCCTGGGAGCCAGCACCACCCTGCCCACCTTGGCCTCTGTCCCCAGGGCAGCTCCCTCCTGCCACGGACAGCCCGCATCACCCAAGTCCTAGTCAGAACCAGAGGCAGAGCCACCCTGTCTGGAACCCACCTCGATAGCCTCCATGCCCACCCTTCCCAGCACCCACCCCTTTCCTCCCAGGTGTGAGGGCCTGGAGGTGGCAGTGCAGGGTGCTTGAGCGCCTCAGGGCACCTTCCCCTTCACCACCTGCGCCTGGTAAGCCTGGCAGTACCCTCTGGCCAGGCCCCAGGGCAGCAGCTCAACAAGAAGTCTGGGGACAGCTTGGACTCTCCTGAGTTTATCCCAAATGGCTGGCCCTCGTCCCCAGAGCTGGGGAGGCTGGCTGTGGACTGCCTTGCCCTGGCCATGCAGACAGGGGACTAGCGGGGTGGCTTCCCCTCCCCTGGGCACTGCAGGAAATAGGGAGAGAAAAGGTCAGGCCAAGAAACCCTCAGGGCCTGAGCTCCAGAGAGCAGCATGGGGGCAGCGGGTGATCGGGCGCCCAGTGTCAGCACTGCACAGCTGACGGAAGAAAATCAGGGAATGAATGGCCGAGGGGCTTTAGAGGGGGGCTGGAGATCCCCCACCTCCCGCCTGGTCACAAAGGGCCCGTGACAAGTCTTGGCAATATAACATGTCTATTTTATTTAAAAAAAAAAAAACAACCCCAAACCCCAGACCATCTGACCTCTTCCCCCAGAGGGCCCGACTCCAGCCAAGCAGGGGATGGTCAGGAGGCCCACTCTGGGACGCCAGGCTGGGGGGCTTTGCTCCTCTCCAAGCCCTCCTCCCTCCCCTTTGCTCCCCGGCAGAAGGACATGGCCTGCCTCCCGGGTCCTCCTGGATCCGCTGGGCACTGCGGGTTGGGAAGAGGCAGGGGCCGAGGACATGCAGGGCCTCCGAGCAGCCAGGGAGGGGCCGCCCAGCCTACCCCCCCTGCCCCCCCACCCCGCCCGGTCCCCAGCGGGGGGGTGGGGGGGGCCCTCGCAAGGCAGACAGCAGTGTGCCTGGGGATGGAGTTGGTGAGGAGGGAGCATGCACGGAGGCCCGAGCGTCCAGGTTCCCTGCACAGCCAGCTAAGTGGTCAAAAGTGAACGAGGACGGCGGGGCCCCGGTCCGGAGCCCCGACCCAGGGGAGGAAGGGGGGACTCCTGCTCTCTCAGTCCTTCGCTCCTCCTCAGAGTTGGCATGACCCTCGTCGCTACCCGGAAGAGAGGCATATGCATCTGCATGTGCCGTGCGTACGCAGAGCCCATAGGGCTCAGACCCTCTGCCCCAGCGCCCTCCGGTCACCACTGGCCGGGCGGGATGCCCGAGAGCGTGGAGCACCCGCTCTGGATCCCTGGGAGGAGAGAGACCCTGTCTCGAGCCCCGGCCGGTGCTTCTGCCCCCCCAGGGCGGGAGTGGGCTATGAACACGGTTGGAAGCCTGGGCCGGAGCGAGGACAGCGGGTGCTGCTCGGCAGGCCTCTCTCGGCCCCCCGGGGTGCCGGCTGGCTCTGCCTCAGCACCAGGGGTCCCGGGAGGCTCTGCCCCGGCAGAGACTGTCGCTCCGCTGCCAGGCACTGTGGATGAGGCTCAGGGCATCCTCGAACTTCTTGTGGGAGGCTTCCTGGATGGCCTTGTGGGGGAGGTCCACCTGTGCGGGGGTACGGAGGGAATCTGTGAGGGCTGCGGCCGGGACCCCGCTCTTCCGGGGAGCCGTGGGAACCCCAGAGTCACCCCCGCACCATGGGACCAAGGTCAGGAGCAGCGTTTCCTGGGTTCGACTTATCAGCTGTAGCCTCAGGTGCACGGAGCTGCTGGTACAGTGCTGTCCCCAGGCCCCTGACTCCAGCCTCTGTACCGTGCAGGGCACCCTTCCCCAGGGAGTGGCTCCATTCACTCCTCGGGGCCCTGGGCGGCCAGGTACCTGGTAGATGGTTTTCCACCCCGAGCTCAGTGCAGACAGGAATCGGTCCAGTTCAGATGTGCAGCTCAAGTAGATGACCCAGGGGGGGAGGGGCTGCTGGCTGTCGGGGGAAAACTCCTGGGGAGAGCAGGTCCCCAGGTGAGCAGATGCAGCGCCCCTCCTGCAGGGCCTGCTCCCCCCTCCGGCCCAGCTCACCAAGACACAGTACTCCTTGCCCGGTTCAGTGGCCACGGCACTGATGTCAGCCAGCTTGGCCGTGCCCAGGGAGCGGAAGAAGCTGGTCTGGCAGTCCTCGTGGCACGTGAAGAGGCGGTCCTCGGTAATCACTAGGCAGCAGGGGATGCAGGGGCTGGGAGTTACCCCCTGGGGGATGACCTGAAGGGCATTGGCAGAGGGGAGGGGAGAGGCAAGCTGGCGCTCTCCCGGGCTGGCCAGCACCAGCATCCCCCCGCTCCGGCCCGGCCAGCCATCAGACGGGCTCCACCCACCTCAGAAGCGGAGGTGGGGACAGGGGTGACGGTGGTGGCCCTGAGCACTCGGGGCCGCCCCTGGACGCCCCTGCCCTGGTCCTCACGGGCTGCTCCCCGAGCGTGTGGGTTTGGGGAAGGGGCCCCCGGGGATCCTGAACGGGGCCAGGCGGCCGGATGGACGGCGCAGGCCGGAGGCGCTCACCCCTTTGGACACAGCCTGGCAGAGGTGCTGCATCCAGTCGGCCATGGCGGCCTCGCTATCGGCGCTCAGCTCCAGGCACGGCCGGCCGGCAAGGATGACCTGGAAGGCGTGGGGCCGATCCGTGGTGCTGGCCCTCCGACAGCCACCGCACTGCTCCCCCCTGGGCCAGAGGAGGGGGTGAGAGAGGAGCAAGGAGGAGGCGGGCGCGGCTCGAGGCAGGCGGGCGCGGCGGGCCTGCACCCGCGGTCCCGGAGGCGGGGGGACACCAGAAGGCGGTGTGGACCCCTTGGGCTCTCGGGAGAGGCTTACAGCGGCTGGCCAGGCCCACCCCTTTCTGTGGAACAACTTCTGTCTCCAGAATTGCCAAGACCCTTCCAGCTACGTTAGCCTGGCCGGGCGAGGGGTGAGAACGGGCTCCTAGCTCTGGCCCTCTCAGGATCAGGGCACATTCATTCCCACTCCCTCTCTGGGCCCGAGGTTGTCCCCAAGCATGTGTGTGTCCGTCTTCTGTCAGGTCGGGAGCTTCCCAGGGGAGGGGCCCCCTCCCCGGCCTGACCAGATCCTCTCCTGGCACGGAGTTCCTCTTGCTTCCCTGAACAGGAAGCCGTCCCTCCTCCCCTTGCTCGGGGTGCTTTAGCCCTCAGAGCTCAGCAGACCCCCGGGTACCAGCCAGGCTGCCGGACCAAGGGGGGCTGAGTGGGGTGGGCTGAACCGACGCACTAGAGGGGGTGTCAGCTCAAGCCAGGCAGGACAGGAGCCCTGCGCCGCAGGCTCAGCCAGAGTCCCCACCTTCGGGCGGCGATGCCGGGCCCCACACCTGCCCAGCCCCCCATCGCCAGGACACTCACCCCATGTTCACCGAGATCAGGGGGGTGACATCAGTGCGGTCGGGATACTGATAGAGGATCCCGTTGCTGCAGGGGCACAACATAGCAGGGGTGAGGCCTGTCTCAGAAACTGGGGGCCAGGTGGAACCCAGATCCCAGGGACGCCCCGCAAGCTGGGGCCTCATGTCCCAGAGGCCAAGGGGCCATCTTCTGTGAAATGGAGGGTGAAGAAGGAACCAGAGGCATAGGAGGGCACGCTACCCCCTCAGCAGACCCGGGACAGTGAGAGCCTTGGCCACAGCCCAGCCCAGACCTACATCTGATGCCCCAGATTTCCTTAGGCCCCGAAGATGGCTGGCTTTACACAGAAGCTCTAATATCCCCAGGCAGGTCGACTCTAAAACCCTTGTGGGGGTGGGAGGAGGCCCCCTCGGGCTTCTCTCCTCAATGGCTGGCCCAACAAGCTCCAGGCTGAGCCTGAGGCCGGCGCTGCGGGGGTGCCCACCTGAGTACCACGAAGCAAGTCTTCCAGTGCTCTTTGCCCAAGTAGGAGGTGCCCGCCTTGTAATGCAGCATGCCTTCTTTGGTGATGGTGCCCTCAGGGGGTGAGCAGTGGCAGGGGATGGGACCCAGGGATTCATCCATGGGGTCCTCCCAGTGGACAAGCCCATAGAAGTGCACGGTGACAGCAGTGGCCTGGGAGGGGCAACAGACAGAGCGGTGAGGTCTGGGCCCGGCTCACTGATGGCCCAGCACCAGGATCGGCCACTGAGGAAGCAAGGACATGCCCTAGTGGGGCGGGGGACAGGACCCAGGGGTAGGAGAGCCCCGCCCGGGTGGGGGTCGGACAAGCGCTAAAGACCTCTATTTGCCCTGCCTGACCTCACCTTGACACCACAGCTGGCCTCTCGGGGACGATCCCTCCTCTCCACTCCTGGCACTTACCTCACACTTAGACTCCTGGGCCACAAATTTGGCCAGTGCTAGCTTCTCCATGGTGGCATCAGTCAGGACGCTGGGGTAAGGTGGTTCCCGGCAGCCTCTGATCATGGCAAACTTCAAAGAAGCCAAGAAGAACCTGCACAGGGAGTGGGGTTTGCTGTCAGAGGCCCGGTGGGGGGCCACCCCTCAACTGGACAGGATCCTGGCCTGGAGAGGGTCACAGAAACTTCGGGGAGGGAGCTCAGGGCAGCAGGTGGGGCAGTGACGTGCAGCAGGCTGAGGGAGCCATTCCCAGTGGCCCTGGGGGCCTGGGGTTGCCGGTGAGGGCAGACCAGATACGCTGGTGCGGATGGGACCCGAGTCAGGATAATGACCCCATCTTATTACGGGTCATTTCTGTATGCACTCTGTGGCCCCCGTTTCTTTTTTCTTGTTTTAAAGATTTTACTTATTTATTTGACAGAGACACAGCGAGAGAGGGAACACAAGCAGGGGGAGTGGGAGAGGGAGAAGCGATGCGGGGCTCGATCCCGGGACCCTGGGATCATGACCTGAGCCAAAGCCAGACGCTTAACGACTGAGCCACCCAGGCACTCCTGTGGCCCCCCGCTTCTTTCCTTTAGTAACTCATGCCAGCCCCCTTCCTCTCTGGCGGCCACCTAGGGTCTCGGGTCCCCTGAGCTGAGGACACGCGTCCATCAGTGTGCGTGTACACCCCCCGCAGGTTCCAGGGGGAACACATTTGTTCGCCACTTCTTTGTATCCTACTGCCCCCCACCGCCCGCCCGCCCCGGCCCAGGGCTGGGGAGTCCAAGCCGCTCTCCAGTCCCATGCGAATGGGAAGGGGGCGGGGGGCGTGTCACTCACTCGGCCAGGGCCCCGTCGGCCGTGTCCAGCAGGAACTGCTTCCTGCGGTTGGTGCACACCAGCTTCACGGTCTGCTGCCCGAGGCCCACCTGCCAGAAGCAGTACCTTCACATGTGCACGGGCCTTGGCTGCTCCCTCGAGGAGGCAGCCGTGGCCGCAATGAGGGCTGGCTGGGGAGGGAGGAAGCACACCCCGGAGTCGCCCAAGGCAAAGCCCCAGAGGCCCGGGACCCTGGCATGAGTTAGGTAGGGACGGTCAGAAATATGGTGGACGGAGAGGCGTCCTCAGACGCGGTTCTTCTCCCCAGCATCAGTGTGGACGCTGCTCTGAGAGAGAAGCTGATGCCTGAGTCCGGGGGCGGTGGGGCCCAGGCGGGGACACGCCGGCGGGAGGCCGAGGAGCCCTGGCCTAGGGTATATGCCAACTGCCGAGCCTGCACTCACCGACACATAGTCAAGTTCATTGTAAGAAACGGCCTCTTCCACCAGGTATGGCTTCTCCGTAGCCCCTGAGACAGGAGACCCCAATGCCTATGACTCACAGTGGCCTCTTTTCCCTCCCCCTGCCCCGTTTTCTAAGACCCGGCCTCCACACTGTGGAGGAGAATGACACGGGGTGCTGTGTCTCCTGGGATGGCGAGCGGCCGAGAGCCGGGGGTGGGGGGCGGTGCAGGGAAAGGGAGCGCGGTGGGCCTCACGCTCAGGCTGCCCCCAGCAGTGGCCCTGGCCGGGCCCGGGGTTGGGGGAGGCGGCGGGCACCTTTCCGGAGCAGGTAGACGTAGCAGTCCGTGAGCAGCACGTACAGCAGCTGCAGGTTGCCCTCCATGTGCCCAGTACTCATCCGGATCATCTGAGGGGCCGCGACAGAGGAGGGTCAGGCCCCCCCGGCCCCTGCCCGCCCCACCCCGGGCTGCACGCTTTCCCGCTTGCCCTGGAGTTCCTGGGACTGACCTTGAAGAGCTGCTCTTCGTTTTCTCGAAACACATGGATCATCAGCAGGAGTAAGTGATTGTTGTCTACTCTGTGAGAGGGACAAGTGCGGGGGGTGTCAGGCGAGGGCAAGGGTAGTAGGGGACACAGACCCACACGGCCACACAGGCACCCAGACGGAGCACAGCTGTTGGGGCTCTGCCCCTGACCGGGGGCCAAAGTGTGTGTGTTGGGGGGGGCGGGGAGGAGACTTACACCCCATCCCACCTCCCAGCCCAGGCTGGTCCTTCCGGGAGTTGCGCTTCGTTTATTTGGAGGACAGACGCCCACTGTCACCGGTTTTTGAGGTGAGCCCTGCTCACCTGAACTCTGCCGAGTGGGTCATCTCGGATGGGCTCCCCTGCCCCTCATCAACCCCAGAGTCCTCCGCGCTGCTCAGACACGGGCTGGGCTGGTCTCGCTTGAGCTGGCAAAGAGTCTCGTGGGTCCCAGGCTCTGGTTCTGGCACAGGCCCCTCCCCGACCAGGGGCAACTCAGTGTCCACCTCCCGGGTCTTCGGCTCCTGGGGCTCCCTGGGGGCGTCCTCTAGGGGCCCAGGCGTCTGTCCCTCTCTTCCTCCTCCTCCCTCTTCTTGGCCAGCAGTCGCAGGGCTACCAGGAACATGCAGCGGTTGGCCAGGCCCTGCAGCGTCATGGTGGCTGCCACCTGATGTAAGAGTGCTTGGACTCTCGACGGTAAAGCGGTAGAAGTCCATTGGGGCTGGAAGCCCCTCACTAAAGTCGCAAAATGGCGGCTTCTCCGGGGCTTCCCCGGGAGAGCCGGTCCGAAAGGACTGGTCTGGGGACTGGACATGGGAGCACCAGGTGCTGGGGTCCAGCTGCCCGTTGAGCTGGTCAATCACCTTACTCAGGGGCTGCCCCAAGCGCTCCATGGAGGTGTCCTTCATTTCGGGGATAAGCAAGCCTATCTGGCCAGGCTCTGAGAGCTCGCTGCTCTCCGCTGTGCTGCTGGGCCCCTCTCCCTCCTCCTGGGGGGAAGTAAAGTTCACGTCTGGGGAGGCCCGCCCCAGGCCTGGGCTGCTGACCAGGCTGTCACCATCCCCCCGCCGGGCACAGGTGTCCTGGGTCGAGGAGGAGTGAAGTGGACCAGCTTCCTCATCCGACCTCGTCTTCTTCTTCTTGCCAGTTTTCTTCTTCTTGGTGACCCTGGGACAGTGGTGATGGGGAGACATTTACCACCTGAGTGCCGCAGTACCGGAGAATTAGGCGGGCTGGGTCCAAAGGGGTGATCCTGGGCGTGTGACCTCTGAGGGCACAGCGGGAGCTTCGGCGGTCCTGGGTGATGGCGGGGAGGCCCTAGGCCGGGGGGCGGGGGCGGCAAGAGCAGCTCAGGCCCTGAGGTACCCCCGCTGCTGGCAGAGGTAGGGACCCGAGGAACCCCTGAGCAGGTCCTGTGACTTCTAGCTGACGACAACTGTGCTAGCTGCGTACTGGGGACAAGCACGGGCCATGGTCGGTCACGGCGCCTCTACTTAGCCGTCCCCTTGGGTATGCTGTGAGCTGACCTCACTTCCCATCAGGTATCACTGTGGATAATCCAACCAGAAGTGCACTCAAAGTCTTCTGGGCTCAAACTTCCTTGGTGGCAAGTTGGCTGGGATGGGCCTGGCAAGGTGACCCCAGGTCTGAGCCATTTAAGCGGCTCAGGCCTTGAACCAGTCTGCAGGGTGGGACCCCTGACCCCTGCCTCGGGCCAGTAAGCCTCGGAGGGTACAACATGCACATCTTCTTCTTCGGCGCTTATAGTCTGAGGGGCAGGAGTCAGAGCAAGTCAGGGAGCCCAGGAGGCTCTGGGCCAAGAGCTCAATCTGTCTTACGCCACCTCCTTCCCTTCTTTTTTTTTTTTTTTTTTTTAGATTTTATTTATTTGTTTGTCAGAGAGAGAGAGAGGCAGGCAGAGGGAGATGCAGGCTCCCTGCAGAGCAGGGAGCCCCATGTGGGGCTCGATCCCAGGACCCTGGGGTCATGACCTGAGCTGAAGGCAGACGCTTAACTGACGGAGCCACCCAGGGGCCCCTCCTCCTTCCCTTCTAGGTAGGTCCCTGTCCACATGATGGAGACACTTTTCTTTCAAGGAGCCATGCTCAACTAGGATCAGTATACATCTCAGGAACTGTTTGGTGACATCCAAGAACTGGAAGAATTCCAGTCCGAAGGGGCTTTCTGGCCCTGGATGAACCTGACAAATGCCCCAGCAGCCCACGTGTGGCCCCAGCCACCAGCCGCGGCTGTCTGTGTCACACCGCCTTCTGGGCTCAGGCCCTCTGTTTCTTCTAGCTCAAAGAACCACTGGAGAACCCCTTAGTCTCCAGGAAGATCCCGGTCCCTCCCCGGGGTGTGTGGTCCCAGCGTGCGAGGACTAAAACGTGATGCTGGGAGCAGACAGGATAGACACCCGGATGCTCCCCAACCCCCAGTGACCTGATGACTTCGAGCTCCGTGCAGGGGTCTGGCAGGTCGACAGCGTGGGATTCGCCCTTCTCCTGAGACGTGGTGTGCACCGGGGTGGTGTCCGAGGAGGACACGGTCTCTGCCTGGTCCTCACTGAAGGGGTTGTGGCGCTGGGTGGGGCTCTTGGTGGAAGCTTTGCTGCTGGTCGGGTCCGAGGCGGTGGAGCGGGGGCCACTGACAGTGTCTGTGAGGTCTCCATCTGGGAGAGCAGGAAACAGGAGACGGCCTGTCAGACACCATCTGGGGACCCCAGGCCCCCAAAGCATGCCTTAACTCATGAGGGAGGCAGGTGAGCTCCTCCCGGGGCAATCTGATCAGGGTGGCCCTGTTTTAAGCACAGAAGCCCCACACCAACAGGACACGGGATTTGTGCTTTAAGAGTGACTTGGAGGGACACCATCACCACTCCACTGGGAACTGCCAAGAGCTCACAGCAATTTGGCTAAGTTCGAGGTAAGAGCCCCAAGGTTAAGCAGCCTCCAGGCTGAAGCCCCTCGGGGACGGTGACTTGGTGCCTCGAGAAGAGATGGGCCACAGACGTCTCAGGTTAACCCTAGAGCCTTCCGTCAGAGGGAGCGAGGGGGGTACTCGGCAGCCCCTGTAGCGCCGCACACCACCGGCAGTCCTCTGAGGGGCCCCCCTCTGCCCCGTGCCAGAGGCAGATAAAAAGCAACAAAGGAAGAGAGAATAGAGGGAGATGATGGGGATCAGAGAAACAGGGGTGCAGAGTGGGGGCAGGGGCTGAGAGACAGGATAGGGAGTCCAGAGGGTGAGGAGCACGGGGGAAAGGCACAACAAGGGCCCAGAGCACAGGAGGCAGAATGACAGACCAGGGCAACAAGGAGATGCAAAAGGGAGAAGAAAGGTGTGCCAAGCGGCCGCTCCCCAACAGCTGCCTCGCAGGCCCTTCGGCGGCTGCTTCTCTCCCCGACATCGGCACACTCCCGGAGCGGGGGGCAGGACCAGGCACCCCTTTAAGGCAAGAGCCTCCACCTGCCTACTGGTCCTCTCTGGGTCTCCCTCACCCTTGGCTCCACCCTGGGGAGAAGGTGGGGGGGGGGGCACTGCCTCTCCAGAGAGGGGCTGGCCTAACTGCTGCCCCTGCCCCCAACCATCCAGCCCAGGTTACTGGAACAGGAGCATGAAAAGCACACAGGGCATTTATCTGGTGGCAGATGGGAGCCACCCCAGCAGCGAACTGAGACCCAGCTGTCAGAAGAGGTCGGGTGAGAGGTAATGGCACGGGACATGGGATGTTCACGCCCCATTTGCCAGCTTACACACATCTTGTGGGCCATTATCTGCCCAGAGGAGACATGGCAAACATGCTTCCCATCCTCAGCCTCATCTGGAAGGGCCCAACCTGCTGTCCACTTCCTAGTGGGTCTTGGAAACACTGGGCAGCTGTCTGCTGATGCAGCACATCATCCATTTTTTTAAAAAAGTACAGTGTCTTTTAATATAAGGGCAAAGGTAGGGGCCAAAGGCGATCGCCAGCCCTGCCAAAAAAGAACACCAGCAACATACGACACTTCCTTCAGATGTCCTGGGCCCCCAGAGCCTTAGTTCTCAGAGGTAGAAAACCTTGTCCTTCGGTCTCAAAGAAGGGTCCTGCGAGGCCATACACTCTTGTTCCAGCCCCTGGAGATCTGCAGTTGCTCGTGGGAGGAGTGCTGAGAAGTGAGTGAACAGGCCACGGGACGTGGTGGCTGTCAAGGCTGGTTACCCCCCAGCTCTGTAATGAGCCAAGGACCATGGAAGGCTACTCCAACCCCCCCCCACCCCCGCAGGGCCCTGAGTTTGGAGCTGCCCCCAAATCCTGCTTTCCTCCAGGTGGAAAAAGACCAAGCCTCCCCAGCGGAGCTGCTAGAGTAGGCTTGGGAACTCAGGAAGCAGGAGTTCCCAGGGGGACAAAGCTCACCCTGCCTGGGAGCCCAGCCCAGCCTGAGCCAGCAGCACGACCCGGGTTGTTAGTTCTCAGGCCACCGGGAGCTCTGAAGGGCTGCGGAGGGAGGTCAGGCCCTGCTTGTCAAGTGACTGCAAAGAGCAGCGAGGAGCTGGGTCAGGAGGGGGTTAGTGGTTAGAATCAGAGGGGGAGAAAAAAATCAATGCCCAGCATGTGCACTGCAAGAAGAGAGGTTGAGAGGATAAATGAAGTTACGATGGAATTCTGGATTTCGAGCTCATCTTAACTAACCTGTGGCACTCTTGAGGGCTACTCTCTTGGCCAGATGACATCATTAATTTTCCCCAAAGCCCTGTCTTATTTCCCTCAAACTAAGCTATTCATATGTTACTTGGAAAAAGATCATCTATCATCCATTACTCAGAGATCCTGGCGCTAATAACAAAGGGACCAGCTCTGGAGCAGTGGAAAGGGCACCTAAGCCTCCTGCCCGGGTGAGCAGTCAGCACCTCCTCCCTCGGGGGCTGGCCCCCAGCCCCACCCGGCCCAGCCCCGGGCAGAAGAGGACCCCAGGACAGGAGGCTCTTTAATTAGGGGTTGGGGGGGGGGATATGGCCTCAGATCTAAGGAGGAAGCATTAACCCTCTCAGAAACAATGCCATGTGCTTTAAGTAACCACAGGAATGAGGGTGAGAACCCCATGGGTTTCCAGAAGCCTAGAAGTGGAGTCCTGGGCAGGAGAATGCCCAAGCACGGCTGCCGCCTAGTGGACAGGTGGGAGGGTGGACAGATTATATTTTAATCTGCCTTAAAACCTCAAAGAGAATCTCCCTGTAGGAAGTTTCAGGTGTACCTGGGCCGCTTTGACCACCGGGCCCTCAGGCCCTTTCCACGATACCAGAGAGGAAGCCACCAAGACTGGACTGGAGGAATTGAGCCCTCTGCCTTTACTCCCTGACGCTTCTGACACAAGAGCACATCTGACCTAAAGGAGCTTATGATCCACAGGTTCAACCCACGCTTTCCAGAACAAGCCTCTGCTCGCTGGATCAGGCCACTAGCGCCCCACGAGCTGGCGGTTCCCTACACACAATCTGGTGCTTCCACTGGCATCGGAATCGGGGAGGGTGACCCACGGGTCCCTGAAACGTGGTCACCTGGTGACTCCACGAGGCCACTGCATAAAGGCAGAAGTCCTGCACTAGGAGAAGGGGGTTTGCCTAGAGCTAGAGGTCAAGTTCTCCTACCGCAGAATTCCATCTATTAGAACACCAAACTTGGCTTTATTATGATCACTGACATTATTATAAATAATGAGCTGATTTCAAATCATGCAGCAAGCTTGGCATGGAGACACAGCAAAACAGGAAAAGAGGGTAGCAGCGGACTCTGTCCCACCTTCCCAGTCTGTGCTGGGTACAGACGGCACTGCTGGAAACACATCTCCAAAATCATAATCTATAAAAACGAGGGACAAAACTGAAGATTAGAAACAGGTCGTGGAAGGACAGGGAGGGTGGGGTCGGCAGGGTGGGAGACATGGGGAGAAAACAAGAGAGGAAAAAGTTAAACTTTCTGCATTTTCTCTAATAGCCTCAGGGAACTTACTATGCTTCTCAGCTCCTGTGCTGGCCCAGGAGCCTCTGACCAGCTGGAAAGATCCTTGAGGACAATCCTTTCCAACCCCAGGACCTGGTTCTGGCTGAGAAGAACGTACCTAACCTTCTCCATCCCTTGCCTTCCTTCCCTCTGAACCCAGCATCGGAGGTAAAGGGAGCTCAAGGGGACACCTCCGCCCCCGGGCGGCCTGGCTTGCCCCTTCAGGGCCCTGCCCCTGACTTCTTGGAGGCAGCCCAGGAGCCCAATCCAAGGAGACTGAGCTGCCACCTTCCACTTGTACAAGGAGCAATGCCAAGTGTTGCTCACAAGGCTAGAGCGGACACGAATAAAGAGGAAGGCCAAGACCTCAATGCTAATGCACTTCCAGGGGGCCCCGGGGACTGAACTTGTGCTTGGGGTGCCCGCTTCCTGGAGGTGAGGCGGGGTACAGTAAATGAAGAGCTCTCCTTTCCCACATGGGATGAACGAAGGTGGAGAAACAGCCAGCTTTACAGATGAACACAGAAGCTTAAGGTTTGAAAGAAACCAGGCTGTTCCCATCAGTTGTTGGATCCAGACGACAGAATGACCTACAGACGTGATGACAGCCTTTTTCAGTCTTGGATGCAGTGGGTGCAATCAGCGCTAACACACTAGCAAGTGCAGGAGGGGCTCCGAAACCCGATGGGCTCAAGAGAAATGGGGACAAGTTTCCCCTCATCTTTGGACCCATCTGGCTCTCTCTTGTCCTTCCAGGGGCTGCTCAGCCTCTTTCTGCCTGGAATCAGAGTAGGACGACCTCCCCAAGCAGGCCGCACTCACCCCTGTAGTGGCAGGAAGAGCTTCCTCCTCACCTAGAAAACCACCCCGCCCACCCCCGCCCTGGGCATTAGGGCTCTAGCCTTCGGGAAAAGGGTCTAACATTCGTATGATCTCATTTTGGCTTTTTGTCCCCAGAATCTGTGTTTTACCCACCACGGAGATGCTGAGGAAATGAGTGAGGATCTGGGAAATGGTCGGCCCTGTTGAACTTCCAGTCTCCCCCATCAGACCGCAAGGAGCCCAGAGGGATGTCACCACGAGTGCCACGGCGGAGGCGGGGCTCCCTGCCGCCCGGGGCGCTTACCCTCACTGGATGGGGCAATGGCGCTGTCATCCCACTCCAGGTTGGTGGAGGTGACGGAGTTGAAGGAGTTGAGGGACAGGCTGTCCGAGCCTTGCACGGAGCTGGGGAGGCGGTCTTCGAAGTCCAGCAGGTACTGAGGTTTGTAGTAGTCGGGCATGTAGGGGGCCAAGTCTAAGTATGGAGCGTCCTGAGATGAGAGCACAAAGAGCCGGCTCGGCTGCGGGAGCCTCGGGGGCCCGGCGCAGACCTGCCTCCGACCGGCCTCCCCTGCTAGCTCTCCTTTGGGGAATCGGTGGGCTAACGGCACGAAATTCAGAAATAAGCTGCTAAAAGGAGTCATGGGAATGGCTGTGGCTCTTAAAGCTCTGGACTCGAGGCAGACAGAGATGGCAGATCCCAGCTCTGCCTGCAGCCCCTCCTTGACCTCCTCAACCACAAGGGCGGCTCATTTTCTCCAGTTCTGACCGCTTTTCCGTAGACGGTCTGTGCTGCTGGCGCAGGGACCTGGGAAGGTGCCGGGACTGGACGGGGCAGCGGTGTGCCGAGGCACCCAAGTCCGAGGGACGCTCTGGACCCTCCTCAGCCCTTCCTGGGCCCGCGTCCTGTTTCTCTAGTGCATGACAGTGAGGGAGACCGGGGAGCAAGGAGCTGAGGACACTTCTAGGGTCCCAAGAGGCACAGGGATGAATGTGCCTTGTCTTTCTCAAACATTCACGCCCTAAACACAGAGGAGAGTACATTAGCACTAAATACTCCAGGCAATGTGGCTTTTCTCCCAATTTGGACAGAGGGGCAGGGAGGAGTCACCTGCACTAGGCATTTGGCTTAGATAAGCCAAGAGAGGATCACCCCCTTCCATCCAGTTCCACTATTCTGACCCTGAACAAACAAGGTGTTGCTCAGGCTCAGTCACACCCAACAGGCTCCCTGAGAGGGACCGGAAGAGTGAAACCGCACGTCCAGCCCGCCCACCCTGCCACCCCCAGCAGCGGCGAGAGCCAGGGGGTCTCACTAGATCCAGGTCGAATCGAATGAACTCCAGCCCAGACACCAAGGTCAGGAAGAGGGTCAGGTGATCGTGGCTGCAGACCAGGGCATTCCTGCGAGGCACGAGGAGGGACGACGGTTAGTGGCTTGGCCCCTTGCTCACTGGCAAGCTGGCTGTGTGGAAGTGCCTGGAGGGCGCCCAGCTTGGGGCCGCCCTCCCCCACCCTTTGCAGCATTTTCCTCCGGCTGTGGAGCCTCGCAGCTCTTCCCAGCCACTGTCTTCAGTCACGGGGCCTGCAGCATAAGGCTCATCTAGCTCTTGGCACCACAGATACTTTGTTCCTGCGGCAGCCCAGCCGAGGCTGAGCGTTCTAGAAAGGTCTGACCCCTGCGTGGAGGATCGGGCAGAGGCAGAGCCGTGGGAACGCCCGTACTCCTGGCAGGGCCATCAGAGGCAAGGTGCTGAGGGCCCTTTGGCCACCACTGACGTGTCCTCGGCATGCCATGCCGGGCTAGGCCTCTGACATGACACACCGCGGTGTCTGCATGTGGCAAGAGTCTTTGGGACGAGGTTCAAGGGGAGCTCCGGGGCTGCATGAGACAGACTGTTCTGGACACTCACTTGACGTAGTATTTATGCAGCAGACCCAGGTTCTCCTGGAACAGCCGCAGGTAGCTCTCCAGGGAGTTCTCGTTGAGTGCCAGGTATAGCCAGGCCCTACCTGCAAACAGAGCGGGGGGGTAACTGGAAGGAACGTCTGTCAGGGGGCTGGCTCTTTGGGCCAAGTGAGGGCAGGAAGGACAGCGAGAGTAGCTAAGGGGGCCAAGCGCTCTGATAAGCCTCCTCTCTTTGGGAGGGCTGGAACCCCTGAAACCTGCGGTTTTCTAGTCAGACCCTAGCTGGTGGCAGCCCAGGGAACTCAGACCAAACTCCGGGTGGGTTGAGGAGCCGAAGGACTGGGCCCCGATCCTGCCGGCTAACACCGGTCCTGGCTCAGGGAGAGAAGCCAGGCTCCCCATTCTGGGCTCGGGCTGGGATCTGATAGGAGTCAGTTTCTCCTCAGCACCTCGTTCTCCTTCCCCCCCACCCTCGATGCTCCAACGAACTGTCAGGCGCAGGGCGGCGGCACCTGAATGCCCCTCTGCCGCGGGACAGCACAAGGGGATCAGCCTCCCAGGGCTGACCCTGAGGCCACACCTGAGCCCTGGGCCCCCCGCAGCATCGTCCTGGTGCTACTCACTGCGCCCCAGGTTGGTGGCCACGTGCTGCAGCACCTCGATCTGTTTGATGGCCTCTCTCCGGGTGAAATGCACCACGAGCACCCAGTAGCCAGAGGAGAGGTCTTGCAGTCTGAGAAAACAGGACAGGAGATGCCATGACCTAAACGGGGCCACCCTGGGAAGCTGCAGTCAGCCGGCCCAGCAGCCTTCGTGTCGCTAACGAGCTCCAGGCTGAAGGCGATGGGCTCCCCGCAAGGCCCACAGGCAACCACTGCACCTTCACCCAGCGGCTCATCTGCCGCTATTTCTTCCCACAGCCGTTCACGCCTGCTCAGAGGCCATTTATGGGCCAGCTACAGACAGCCTGCAGTCTACCTGAGTGAGGCAAATCTCTTTCTGCCAAGAGAAAGCAGAAATAAAAGGCAGGCACGGCGGGGGACTTCTCTCTGGAGGCTCCTCGCGGGCTGGGCCAGGCCAGGCGGCGCCCTAGGGTCTTCTCCAGAGACCACCCCCACCTTACCCGTACAGCAGGGCGTGGTCCAGGTGCTCACACAGACGCTGCAGGACCTTGTCGTGGTTCCGGATGGCGGGGGTCTCATCCTCACACGCAGCAAAGTAGCTCTGCAACTGAAAGGAAAAGGGACGCACCCGAAATGAGAAACAGATAAAGAGGAAGGCTATAGGAGGTAGCTAAGACACCAGCCAAGGGGCGGCCGGCTGGCCCCCTCGGTGGAGCGCACGACGCTTGATCTCGGGGTTGTAGGTTCGAGCCCCACGCTGGATGTAGAGGTGACTTAAAAATAAAATCTTAACAAAAAATAAAAGAAAGCAAACCAGTCAAATGATAAATCCGTGGTGACCACCCGCTGCTTACCCCGCAGGCTCCAGAGGGCAAAGCTGCATCCTCAGAGCCCAGGCCCCGAGAGGCACCCAGTGCGTGCTCTGCACAGTGACAGCTTGATGCTGGGAGGGACCCACCGTCCGTGTGTAGGTCTCAGGTGGTCCTGGGCTTCAAGTCAGGGCGGCGGAGCCACACCCCCCAGGGGCACTACATGAGGTATTATCTGTATGAATGTCCCCTGCTCCGGAGTTGTACAACATCCCCTGCTTGGAGCAGCTCCCCTGCACAAACTAAGGGCTGATGGACTGGGGCCCTGGATTTGCCCGAGGACACGGACAAGGTTGGGCATGGGTTGGGGTCCAGGCCAGGCTCGTGTCCAGCCCTACACCAAGAAGGACGCTTGTTTCCAGGCTGGGCAGATCAAAGGAAGGGGGCAGCAGGCGAGAGGAACTGCAGGGCTGAGCATGGGCTGAGCACGGGCTGAAGAAGGTGAGGGCAGCTTTCTCTGGTTAGTCAAAGCTTAGAAAGCAGGGCCCTTTTCAAGTAAAGCCCTAGGAGACAAGTCTTTCAAACCTCGTTTAGCCATATTCCGGCCCGCTGTTGCCCTTCTAATGGCCAGACGGGGGACAGACAGACAAGAAGAACACTCATCTCAGGTTTAAGCTTGGCACGGGACAAATGTGTTCTCAAGTGTTTTCTGGAGGCGGTGGTTGAGATGGCAGCAGCAAGCTACATCAACCACACCAACAAGCACGCGCTCCTGGCGAGAGGCCAACCATTCAGCGCCCACAACAAAAATAGCCTCTCTTCCCTGTGGCCCAGGGTAAGCCCAGCAGCCCTGCTGGCCAGGGACAGACCCCAGTCCTGCGGGGTTGCCCTCCCTCCTGAGAGGCACGCAAAACAGGCCCGGGAGGAAGGTTCCCAGAACCGAAAGAAAGCAACGAGCCTATGCCAACCACCCAACTCCCACCCAGTGATGGCTGGAAGCTTGTCTTGCTCCCTTCAGTACTGAGAACCACCACACGGGTGTCCGGCCTTTTCTTCTTCTTCTGAGATCAGAGAGTCTTAGATGACAGAGCTGGCAGGATCTTTCGAGATCTGGCAAACTCCCTCATTAAGAAAGCAAAATGGACGTTCACCCATTTTCTTGATTATAAAAGTAGCCACACCCACCACAACACTGGAGAGACACGGAAAAGCTTTAAGATTTTGTTTGTTTTATTTAAACAGAGAAGGGGGCTAAAACCAGTAGAAGTGAAGTTCTTCACGGTGAGTGTCAGCTTAAGTGAAGGGGAGCCAGAGCTGGGACTCAGACTCCTTTCTCGGGTCAAGAGACCTTTACAACTGTTAATCCAAAAACAACATTTGCTCACCATAAAAACTCAGTAAGACAGAAGTGTGTATAAAGGATAAAGGCCTCCTGGCCCCCTGTTCCCCACTGTCAACAGCTCAGGTGTGTGTGTGTGTCCTCCCAATACGCTTCCTGCATACGCAGACTTAAAAAATTTTTTTTAAATGTGAAACCGGGTCATGCTATACTCATTGTTCCCAAACGTGCTTTTTAACAATGTACAAAGCGTCTATTTCTGTACCATCACATACCGAGCGACTGCATTTTCTCAGTCCACACTGCATGCTGAAATAGGACATTGTCAGCTAATGGCCACTGTCTCTACTTCTTTGATGCCACACGATACCACAGCAAACACCCGTGGATCCCTGTGTGGGTATTTCTGAACGGTGAGTGCTTACAACGGACCCGCAGACCTTGATTTGTACTCCCACGGTGCCGGCTAACCCTGGACATAATTAGCCTAATTCTTGGCAGTCCAACTGGGGAAAAACAGTACCTAATTGTTTGGGGTTTTTTTGTTTTTGTTTTTGTTTTTTAAGATTTTATTTTAAGTACTCTCTACGCCTAACGTGGGGCTGGGAACTTACAACCCCGAGATCAAGAGTCGCATGCTCCTCCAACTGCACCAGCCAGGTTCCCCCGGTACCTGATCATTCTAAATTGGATTTCTCTCAACACTAGTGCAGCTGAGCATTCTTTTTTTTTTTTTTTAAAGATTTTATTTATTTATGAGAGAGAGAAAGAGAGAGCGAGCAGGGGGAGGGGAGGGGGGAGAAGCAGACTCCCCGCTGAGCAGGGAGCCCAATGCAGGGACCCGATCCCAGGACCCCAGGATCATGACCTGAGCTGAAGGCAGATGCTCAACCGACTGAGCCACCCAGGCGCCCCCAGCTGGACTTTATTTTTTAAAGATTTTATTTATTTGCCAGAGAGAGACACAGCGAGGGAGGGAACACAAACAGGGGGAGTGGGAGAGGGAAAAGCAGACTCCCCGCCGAGCAGGGAGCCCGATGCGGGGCTCGATCCCAGGACCCCGGGATCATGACCTGAGCCGAAGGCAGACACTTAAGGATTGCGCCCCCCAGGGGTCCCCCGGCTGAACATTCTTATTAGCCATTCCTACCATTTCTATTTCTTTTCCTGTGAACGACCTGTTCAATCTGCTCGATCTTCTGTCTGCTCGCCTTTTTCCTGATAGTCTGTCATAGCTCTTTGTTGGTGGAGGATTTACTCCTGTGTGTTGCTTTGAATTATTATTTTTGCCCCATGTCAACTGACCTTTAAGTTTTCCTTATGGTGTTTTTTATCCTATTGAGAAACTTCTATGTTTTAGGTAGTCAAATCTGTCAACCTTGCCCTTCACCGTTTCCTGTTTTCCCCAGTCTAATACTACAGAAGTACTTCTATCCCTCTACAGCTTTCGGACTTTTTTGGTTTCCTTTTTTGCGTTTAGACCTTTACTTGATATGTGGCATGAGGTAAGGATTGAGCCTTATTACTTTCTGGATGGAGAACTCATTCCCACATTTATTAACGGTCCCATACTGATTTGTGATTTCATATGCCACCTGTCCCGATTATTTTAATCAGCCCATTGCCTATTCCTGGGCCAGTCTCTGATTTTTACTATTTTTAAAAAGATTTTATTTATTTATTTGTCAGAGAGAGAGAAAGAGCATGAGCAGGGGAGCGGCAGGCAGAGGGAGAAGCAGGCTCCCCACTGAGCAAGGAGCCTGATGCAGGGCTTGACCCCAGGACCCCGGGATCTGACCTGAGCTGAAGGCAGACACTTAGCCGACTGAGCCACCCAGGCATTCCCAGTCTCTGATTTTTAATTATTTTCTTATTCATCATTTTCATATGGGCAGAACAAGTCCACCCCACCCTCCAACTATTCTTTTTCAAAACTGTTTTGACTATTCTGGCATAATCTTTTAGAATCAAATTTGGAGTAGAATTATACTGAGTCTAGGGATGATTTGGTGGGGAGAAACCGTACCTTTGTAAGTCTTCCCATCCAGGGACGTGGAATTTTCCCCCATTTATGCAGGTCTTCTTTTCTATCATTGGGCAAGTTTCACAGCTTTCTTTACGTAGGTCTCGCACATTGACTGCAAGGTGGGCTGCATACACACCCTTATACTATGATTTCGGGAATAGTCTGACAACCACAAAACCACTCCTACAGAAAGTACAACAGAAAAGGCGTGTAACACGGTGGCAAAAGGCGTGTAACACGGGTCCAAAGCTCGGCTGTGCTACGATGGAGCCGAGTACCTTTGGCAAACTGCTCAACCGTCTAAACTCTCATTTTTGCTCATCTGTAAAATGGGAGAGAGCTGAGCTGTCCAGTATAGCAGCCAGTAGCTAGCTTCATGGGACTAGTTACATTTAAATTAATTAAAATTAGACACAATTAACAATTCAGTTCTTCGGTGGCACTAGCCACATTTCAGAAGTTCCATAGCCCCATGTGGTGAGTGGCTACTGAACTGGACAGTGCAGATATAGAACATTTCCCTCCTTGTGGAAATTCTATTGGATGGTCCTAGTTTGGGGGATGGAATGATATAAAGCATGCAAAAGGCTTACCATACATCCTGGTAAGCAGCCAGCACTCAATAAATATTAGCCAAGCTTATAAAGAATAATGAACCATATTTTTTATTTTTTTAAAGCTTTCTTTATTTAGGGGCACCAGTGTAGCTCAATTGGTTAAGCGTCTGCCTTCAGCTCAGGTCATGATCCCAGGGTCCTGAGATCGAGCCCCGCTGAGCAGGGAGCCTGTTTCTCCCTCTCCCTCTGCTCCCTGCCTGGCCCCTGCTTGCTCTCAAATAAATAAATAAAAATCTTTAAAAAAAAAGATTTATTTATTTGAGAGAGACTGTGAATGGGGGGAGGGGCAGAGGGAGAGAGAATCACAAGCAGACAACCCACTGAGCGCAGAGCCTGACACGGGACTCGATCCCATGACCCCAAGATCATGACCTGAGCCAAAATCAAGAGTCCAATGCTCAACCGGCTGAGCCACCCAGGCGCCCCAAACCCATATTCTTAGTCAAACCAATAACATAGCACTTGGCTAAACCTAACAGCACGTGCAAATAAGATATAAGGAAGTGCCCTGCTCTCGAGAACTACCATTCTGTTCACTGGTTCGCTAGCGGGGGCTCCAAAGCCTACTCTTTAAACACCTTCTTACAGCAGGTTGATAAAGATTTGCCATGATCTCAGGGGACTAGGTGTTCTCGAATCAGTGCTGCAGCCCAGCATGGTTCCTCAGAGGAGGAGGAGGAAGAACCAGTGCTGGAAGAACTTTAGGAGTTGTGTCCACAGCTTGAGCTCATACTTGGGGGGTTGGGTCAGCCAAGCGCGGACATAAAGGTAAACAGCAGGGGTTTATTCTTCCCTTCACCGTGGAGAGGCCACAGC